CATACATTTCGTTGATAACCTCTTCTCAGCCATCCCTGCAGACTGACCTCTCTTCAGCCCTTGGCTGCTTAGTCTCTTGGCCAAACTCTGCCCTGCTTGAGGAAGTATTACAAAGCTGTTTCAGCTCCACTGATAAGTGCCCAGAGCGATCCCACTTTGTCAGCAAGCCGACTGCCCGAAGGTACTCAGCTTTTTCACACCGTGGGCCAGGAGATTCACTTTTCTATCTTCTGCTGGTCTTCTGAATCTTTTGAAATAAGCTTATGTATTTTGAAATAAAAAAGCTTAGTTAAGAATGTAAAAATTGGAGAAAATCTTATAGAAAATTAAGTGATGCATAAAATGATGTTAAGGTATATTTATTGACCTGAAAAGTATTCCTAATTTATTAAGTGAATAGTTAAGTGAAAGTGCAGTCTGCAAAAATTGTAAGCAAGTGCTAGAAATTGAAAGGCATATGCAGAATAATAGTTTCCCAATATGGTCCCACTTTAACAGTATGTGTACTCATTCCCAAAGAAAAATCTCTGAAGAAATACTACATTAACAAAGAATATTCCCACTGCCTTGACATATTAAGAAGATGCAACATAGGAACAGTTCTAAGGATGGCACAGGACCATGCAGTATTTTCTTTTGTTGTGCATAGTATACCTACAGGTTGGAGCCAACTTAATAGCCCCTAACAACAACATGAGAAGTCTTCAAAAAGTTCATAGAAAATGGAGCCCGGCTATCGAAAGATAAAGCATCTGAGGCCAAAAAAGGCTTGAAGTTAAAAAAGTGGCCATCTATCAGAGAAGCAACAAAGTCCACATGGAAGAAGCACACCAGCCTGTGTGATCATGAGGTGTCTACAGGATCAGGTATCAGGCATCAGAAGACCCCCCAAAAACAAAAAACATATTGTTGAGAATAAGGGGGGTCGGAGCAGAGACCCAAAACCCTTCTGTAGACAATAGGACATCCCATCACAGAAGGGTCACAAGGAAAGGATGAGTCAACAGTATAGCACCGATGAAACAAACAATATTCCTCTGGTTCCTTGAGGTTTCCTCACTCCATGCTATCATGACCCCAGTCCTGCCTTTCAGTTCTGGCTATTCAGGAGCACGTACATTGATACAGATAAGAGCTCACGACACACGGAATCCAGGTTAGAGAAACCCCTCAGGAACAGAAATGGGAATAGCGATAACAGGAGTGTAAGGGGAAAGTGGGGTAAGAGGGGAGGAAGGAGGAACTGATCGCTATGATCAATGCATAACACACACACACACACACACACACACACACACACACACACACCGGGGGAAGAACAATAGAAAACTGGGTGAAGGAATACAGCGGTCAGTGTAAGATATGAAAATAATAATAATTTATAATTTATCAAGGAATCATGAGGGGAGAGGAGGGGAAGGGGGGAGAAAAGAGGAGCTGATACTAAGGACTCAAATAGAAAGTAAATGTTTAGAAAATGATGATGGCAACATATGTACAAATATGCTTGATACAATTGATGTATGGGTTGTTATTAGAATTGTAAGAGCCCTCAATAAAATGATCTTTAAATATAAGGATCATTTAAAATTAAATTTTATATATATAATTATTTTTCAGCATAAGCCCCATCAAGTTCAAGGCATTTTTATAAATGAGGATACCTGTAATTTAATCCATTCAGAAAGTACTAAAGGTTCTAGTAACTTAATCATGTCAATTATTATTAACTAAAGAAAATGGGTAACCTTTAAAGATTTTTATAAATATTAGGAAACAAAACGAAGTCATCAGAAGGAGCCAAATTAGGGTTGTGAAGGTCTAATAATTTTCCATCAAAACTGTTTCGTTTGATGAGAGGCATGAGCAGGAACTCGTTGTCAAAATGGACAAAGACTCTGGTGAAGCCAATGCTTTCTTGGGCATTTGACTGCAAGAGCTTTGGAAAACTTTCACAAGACATTCTCTGCTTCACAGGAGGATATTTTCATATTGGGATTTGTGTTAGTGAGGGTCGACTAGAAAAACAAATCCAGGGACACTCATATGCATGTGAGTAATTGTATATTAAGAACATATCCCAGCCCAGTCCAGATCAAGTCCATAAGTCCAATAGTAGCCCATATGTCCAATATCAGTCTAAAAATTCCTCTTCAGAGTCTCACAACACATGTAATGATGCCAAATGATTGAAAATCACAGGCCAATGAGTGGAAAGTCCTGTGGGTCCAGTGGTGCGAGCAACTCAGTGCTGGCATAGGTCTCCACATGGCTCCTCCAGCTACAGGGCTCTGGCTGCCATCAGCACAACTCCATGTGGCTTGTCAACTGGAATGTGTAGCAGAGAGAGTGTGTCTCTCGCCTCTAGCGAAGAAGACAGGAATTCCCAGAATCTTCAGGAGAAAGCCATGCCCACCAGAGGCATCATTTGGCATCGTATGAATGACAGGCTAGTCTCCACCTTTTTGCTCAAGTTGACAGGAGATTATGCAACTGCCACAAGGTTTATTTCAGATTTATTTTGTCATTGGGCTAACCCTCTGGAATTTATGTTTTTCTGTTTTCTAGTATATGAAACCCAGGATTGATGAACCTATAGAGACTTCGATTCGAATAAGGGCTCCTGGAGGGTACAGTAGTAGCAGGGGGGTCGTGTAAAGGTGAGCTGATATTAGGCATTTGAGAAGGAACCGAATTTTTGAAACTGATTGTGGTAGCAACAGTACAAGACTGCTTGATGTGATTCAACTATGGAATGATATATCCATATTAGTTCCCAATAAAATGGTTTTGAAAAAAAAGAACAACAACACTGTCTGCTTTTGACACTCAAGCTTTATCTAGACCACTTTCAGAGCACTGGTGATGTATGGTTATATGTTGGGTTTCTAACTGCAAGATCAGCAGTTCAAAATCACCAGCTGCTTTTGGAGTGAAAGATGAGGGTTTGTATGCCTCTAAAAAATTGCAGTCTCAGAAACTCCCAAGGGCAGTTGTGCCCTGACCTATGAACCTATGAAATCACTTTGAGCCAGAAAATGACTTAATGGCAGTGAGAATGAGACCACTTCCACGTCTTGGTAGCCATTGCTTTGATTGTGCTTTGTCTTCAAAATTGTACTGGTAAAGCCGTGTTCCATCTTCTGTTACAATTCTTCAAAAAAAAAGTTTCAGAATCTTCACGCCATTTGCAATGATTTTCATTGAAAGCTTTGCTCTCAATGCTTTCGAAGCTTTCTTCAGCTGACCTAGGTGTTACAATTTTTCAGTTAGAATCTTTTAAGCTGGATATAGTTTCTGCTACTAATCATCACTACTCTTTAATTAAAGCATGGATAAAATTGTTAAAATTGTTGCAGGTAGTCTGCCACTTTGGACTTCATCTTCAACATTTTCTTCTCCTTTTGTATTGAGTTATACATTTGTAAACTGCCGATTTCTTTGGGGCATTGTGCCTATAAACTTTTCATAAAGCATCAAAATGATTTCACCATTCTTCCACCCAAGCTTCACCATAAATTTAATATTTGTTCTTGCTTCAATACTATACATTTATAACATTTTCTTTTTACATAGATTTATTACATTTGAAATTAGAAAAAATAGATATGAAAATTGAAAAATTGTGTTTTAATTTACAAAATAAGATACAAATGTGTTTTTTGACATAGGAAGACATTCGCAACACTTTCAATTTAAAATGATGGATTCATGTTATTTGTGCAAACTTGTATTAATATTTGTGCATAGAATTCTGAAGTCTATAAACATAAATACAACTGAACATCTGAATTATAGAACCCTAGGCAACTTATGAAGAAACTGCTGGCATAGGTCAGCAGTTCAAAACCACCAGCAGCTCCTTGGAAGATGAGGTTTTCTTCCCCCATAAAGATTTATAGCCTCAGAAACTCAAAGGATTTCTGTGAATCAGAATTGGCTCCATGACAGTATGAGTTTTTAATTTTGAGAGACAATTTATAAGAAACCCTGGTGGCATAGTGGGTTACCCATTTCACTGTGGGAATTTCAAACCCACCAGATACTCTAAAGGAGAAATAGGAGACTCTGATCCCTTAAATATGCACAGCCTTGGAAACCCAAATGGGTAATTCAACTCTGCATTATAGGGTTGCTATAAGTCAAAATAAACTCCATGGCAGTGAGTTTAAGTGAAACAATTTATATTCTCTTTATACTTTTCTGAATCTTGAGATGAGAAAGTAAAATTTTTATAATCAGAAAAAAGGCTGCAAACGTCCTGATTCTATTTTTACATTAAACATATATGCACACACACGCATATACACACACACATTCTTTAACTGAGAATTGAATTCCATAGGAATTTAAAATTCTGTAAAATTGAGATGGCTCCCTGCCTGCTCTAGGCACATTGTGGCAGTTGCTCTAAGCTAGTGTTTGTACAGAGTGGGAGAAAGTGGCTTTTGAGGTGGAGGGAGGAGGAGAGGAAAAGGAGGAGAAAAGGAGCATTGGCAAGAGTGAGGGAGGTGGAAGGCCTGCACTAGAGATGTAGTTTTCTTGTCCTGATCCTTACCTACTGGTCTGAAAATCGAAACAGAGGCTACCTGCCCCTGAGGCGCTCCCTATACCAGACAGACAGGGAAAGCTCTTTCTGCAGGTTAGAACAGCAGCCCTACCTACTCCTTCACTTCCCGTTCCCTACCTTCTCTCCCAGCATTTTTGTTGGTATATTCAGGTTGCAGTTTTGATTCTGGACTCCAAGTGGCACTCATCTGTATTTTCTAAATCTTCCTCAATGAGCACATATCATTGTACAAGGAGAAAAATAAAGCACTTTCTAAGTGGGTTCTCAACTCTCAGTGCCACCGAGTTAATTCCAAATCCTAGAGACCCTATAAGACAGTAGAACTGCCCCTGTGGCTTTTTAAGACTGTAACTCTCTCTTTCTCTCCTTTAAGACTTTCCTACATCAGCTTTATTTAAAACACAAATAAGCATTTCTCTTTCTGTAACACAAAAATATAGAACGTTTCACGATTTTCATGTCATCTTTGTCCAAGGGCCATGCTAATCTTCTCTGTATCATTTCAATGCTAGGTATGTGTGTGTTGAAGCAAGCACAAGGCTGTAACTCTTTATGGGAGAAGAAAGCTTCATCTTTCTTCTGTGGAAGTGGGTAGTGATTTCAAACTACTCCGTTTGTGGTTAGCACCCTGATGTGTAACTCAGTACAACACCAGGACTCTTTGTTCTAAGTGTGTTAGAAACTGATATGTATGGATTCAGTCAAGTTTTCTTTAAACACATACAGATAAAAAAGAGAAAAATGAATAAATAAATACAGGTAGAAATGACTAGAAAGTTAAAACACCACTCTCTTGATTTGTAGCAGTTGGGGGAAAAACAGGGAAAATACTTAATGTCTGGTAAGTTAGGAGAACTTTGCTAAAGTCAGTACCCTCCTTCCCATTCTGCATACATTGAAGCCAAGTGTGTACAAAACGATGTAAAGTATGCCAGAGAGAACATTTTAAATGCAATAACAAGAAAGGAAAAACAAAACCACTTGTGTACATTATATAGGAGATTCTGTGTGCTTTCTATAATTTAGAATGTACTAAGAGAGTAGGATTGGGGAAAATCCTCACCATTTTACTATCTAACCAGCATCACTTTGTGTTCCTGAGAGGGGATGGATATGAACTGGTTGTTTGTGTTGTATTTCAGTCCCCAAATATTAAGCTACTATTGAGGACAGACCAAAAAAATGATGGTCTGATGACCAAGACATTACAATGAAAGTCCTCAAATCATTCAGAATGTCCCTATTAGCTTTCTATTAAAATCATTTCAAGTTGAAATGCTTTTCCTATAATTCGTTTTACTCTCCTCTTTCCACACAGTTCGTTTTATAATTAAAGATCATATTTTTAAGTGTGAAAGAATAAAATGAGTCATACTACATTACAGAAAATCAATGTAGTCTTTAAAGTTGTTGACACTACAAAGATTCCCAAGACCCAGGCAATGGCCTGCTTTCCAGGCATTACTTGTTAGCAATGTTAATGACTGCGTAACCATGACAACCATCAGCACTCTGACACCAAACCTACGCACTTCACCACTAGATTATGCTGCCTCTTAATGTACATGTCTAGGGAGTCCTGGCTGGCAGGCTCTTGCAGACAGAATTACACAAACCGCCTGAACAAGTGGGGGAGGAGGGGAGGAAGAAAACAACCTGACCCCAAGGAAGCAGAACACCACATGTCCTCAAAGGCACAACAAATACACGAGCAGTAAAAGGATCGCAACCCCCTCCACAGCACGTCCCACCTCTACATAATACGTAGGAAGTCAGAGTCGGAAGGAAAAAAATTAACTCGACTAAATTAACTAGCTGAGGTCAGCCAGCCCTCCTCCTTTCCACACCATTTAACAAATACTTGGCCTCTGCTGTTTGAGCCCCCTGGTTTCCTCCCATTTTCTTTCTCCTGTTTCATGGTTTGGCTTCCTCTAGTTAGCTGACCAGCCCCTGGGGTTCTGTAGGCAGACTACACCCACTTCTTCACCCCAGCTCCAGACACACATCCTCTACTGGCCCCTGAAGATTTCCATTTGAGGAACCCACTAGCGAGTTTTGACAAACAAAGCCTCTCAGCTTTCTCCTCCAATGGTTCCTCCTCCTCCCCTATTCAGGGTTTTCACTCTCAGCTGAGGGAGCCCACACTCCACCTTGTAGACCAAGCCAGACTCCCCCGCTCCCTCCCTCCTACATCCACCTTCTGTCTCTGAAAGATCTCTGACCAGGCCCATCCTGCTGGTGGCTACAATGCAAGCTGGCCCAGGCAGCTTCTCTCTCTTGGATGGCTGCAGCAGCCTCTCCACTGATTCATGTGCCTCTGCTGTGGAAGTGAGAGGGTGGGCCAGGGACAGCCAAAGAAACCTTCCTGAAATACTAGGCTTCTTGTGTCAAGGGCTGGCTTCCCACTGCATTTGAGACACAGATTAAATAATCCTAATGTGGCCGACAAGGCCTCCTACAGCCTTGCCCCTGCTCATCAAGAAAAATTCTGAGACTGCAAACCATTTTTTTATATCGAGCTGTTTATGTTCTCTGAATGTATCATGTTCCCTTTTACCTCCTCGTCTTTGCACAGGTTGTCCTTTCTGGCGGGAACACCCTTTCTTCTCCTTGGTCTAGATGGTTCCCACTCAACCTTGACTGGCATGCTGGGAGGGAACATAGTTTAGATCTGGTTGGATAGGTCTTTGATCATGTCCTGCAGTCTACTCTTCACATTTTCTATGGCTGACATCTATTTATTTAGCGTTCAGAGGGAAACCTGATTTCCAAGTCTTTGAATGTGCCTATGTGTGTGTGTCTACCTTCAACTAAAAATTTTTTTGGTTTTAGTATGTTATCATTTCTTGCCAGAGACTGATTTTTAGCCTCCCATCTCTATCCATGTAGTCCTTTCATCAAGTGTACTTTCTCATTACTGGTTTTCACTAGCGTCCAACGATATTTTTGGCCTTATGTTTCTTAGAATAGCATAATAGCAGCCCGACCTCCAGCCAGTCCTGGGGCTTTGGTGCTCAGCTCAAGGGGAGTCCCTCTGGGAAATGGGGGTACAGTGAATGGTATGACCCTTTGCTGGGCATGCCTACACAGTAGGGGATGCTGCGCCCCTCTAGGGTTTCTTGTATGGGCTCCAATACATTTCTTCCCTTTTGCTTAAAAAAAAGGAATAGCATAATAGTTACAATGTTGAGCTCTTTACTTATACGGAATGACACAAATCCTAGTTTGTCACTGCATGTGTAACTTTGAAAAAGTCTCCAAAAAAGAAAAAGTCATTTAATCTCCTTGAATATTTTCATGTGTGAAAAATTAAGATAACAGAGTCATTTTTCATAAGGCAATTGTGAGGTATATATGATCCAGCCAGTATAAAATTCTTAGAGCAGCTTGGTACGTATTTAAATGTCCAGTGCATTTTATCTAAAGTTGCCCTCTTGGCAATCATTTCCCCTTGCATCTACCTTTTCTACCAAAGAAAACTGCATTTTAAAATCTGTAGCCATTAGTTCTTTTCCCATCATAATTTTTCCAAATGTACTTTATTATCTCAGCTTCTCATCTCGTTATAAATAGCGCTTAGGAGTATTTCAGCTTTAAAAATCACAAAGGACCTAAGGAAAACAGGTCAGAGCTTATAGGTCCCTGAGTGACGCAAATCGTTTGTAGCATTAACCTACAGTTGGCAGTTTGAACCCAACAGTGTCACTACAGAGAAAAGACCTAGTGATAGATTTCCATAAAGATTGAAGCCATGGGGTTTCCATGAGTCGGAATTGAGTCAACAGGAACAAGTTTGGGTTTTTTGTCGTTTTTCTTTTACACCCTAATTTAGGAAAAAACTTATTTGAGAATTAATTGCTCATATGATTTTGGACATTGGGAAGCTCAGGGTGGCTTATGCGAAAGTAATAGAATTTTAGCCTGCAAAGAAAACTATATATCTTGTTGAAATATAATATTAGTAATTACACTTAGGTCTGATTATAAACTCAAGTATTCAAGCAAAATTTCTTCCTCCCACAATCTCACAATTAGCTGACATTTCAAGGTAGGATGACTTCAAATGACCAGTCAACTGCAAAATATTTTTCCTTTCTTCTTTTGATTTCATGCTAATTAAGTTAAAATGTCCACCTCATTAAGAAGCCTCCCTGGGCAGCCAGCCCATAGGAGGGGGTGTTAAAGATGGATCACAAAAGGGGCTAGTAGGAGTATGGCTATTTAAACTATCCCTCTTATCATTGTGACCCACTGTAGCAGGATATCAGGATTCTGTAGAAACCAGGAAGCCATGGCTTCAGAATGCACTTTAGTTGATGACGTTGCTTCTTTTGATTGATGGATGACTCAAAGCCATGTTCCTCAAGAAGAAACTCTTGAGATTTTGAAAGGGAAAGGAACAGTAAGGAGAGGTGAGGAAAGGAATAGAGTTACATTCATGTTGTATATTTATTTCCTTTAACCTAAAGTTGGAACCTGTGCTTTGTCAATACCTAACAAAATACCCTGACAACACTTAATGAATTAAAGTTTTTTAAAAAAAACTTTCTAAGAAAGTGAGTGGGTGCTGGGGGTGCACTAGGTGAACTCTGAAATGAGAAATGTCAGACAAGCATGATCCCAACTCAGGAAAGATTAGTATTATGATGCATGTCGTAGGTGGTTGATTGCTTGTATACTCATATGTGTTTGTAGAGTAGGGATGGCTTTTACCAACTGCTTTTATCCTATAGCCTCTGAATATACCACTGCCATCTCTACTGTCTACTTTCTATTTATCTGTCTATATGCCCAAGGTCTAAGTGTGGCTAAGGTCATCTCAGAATCTGAACTTTCACTCTTGTCTCTCACTTCCCTGACTACTTTCCTATCCTTAGCCACTACCTCCACATACTCAAAATTTTGTCAGTGCAGGACGGAGCCCTGGAGACACTGTGAGCCAGGTATTGAGCCACTAATCACAAGGTTGGTGGTTTAAACCCACCAGCCACTTTCTAAAGAAAGATGAGGTTGTCTGCTGTCATGAAGAATTGCAGTCTTGAAAATACTATGTAGCATCTATGAATCAGGACATTGTATAAGGAAGAGCGAAGAAAAATCAATGCATTTGAAATACGGCGCTTGGGGAAAATATTAAAAGTAATAAGGACTTCCATAAGAACAAACACATCTGTCTTGAAATAAACACAACCAGAATGCTCCTTAGATGGGGGATGATGGGTGGGGAGGATGAGGGAATTTGGCGAGCAAACAATGAATGCAGGAGGGGGGGAAGAAGCACTAAAACAGATTGTGGTTATGTATATACAACTCTTTTTAAAAACACTTTAACCATGGAAGTGTATGATATGTGAATGTCACATCAAGAAAACTGCTTTAAAAAAATGAAGAAAAAAAGAATGCTCCTTAGAAGCAAGGATTGCTAGACTTCATCTCACAAACTGCAAAATTTCAAAACAAGAAAAGTAGAAAACTAGGACCCCGAATCAAGCATGGCAGGTTTGGGCATCTGTGGCTTCGGAATGAGCAGTGCA